ATACATACATACATACATACATACTGTGGATATACAGTATACACACAGACAAACAGTATATACACACTCATTGACCAGTCAGAACCTCCTAGATCTAAACACCTGGTTGTGAGCGGTTGTGAGCATGCGTCTATATACAAGATTTCTCCAATGGAATATTTAATAGTGACTGTGGAGGACCAAAGACCCAACCCCCAAGACCCGAGGCAGACACAGGGGAGACCAGAGCCCAAGGCCCCGAGGGGGACCCTGAGAGCAGAGCCCCCAGGGGCACCTGCCTAGGAAGATCCGCCCACCCATCCCCCAGCTCGGACCATAGGGGAGAACCGGGAGAACCCCACCAGCGACAGTGTGAATGTGTTTCAAAGTGAACCATTAAGCATAAGAGAGCCCAGAGAATTTATGGATCTGAGCTGAGCTTCCTGACAATCTCTCCACTCAGTCCCCGGCAAGAAGATAAAGTCCTCCATCGTCATGGTAAAGTACATTATTGAAAACCACAAGAGCTGTGTAGGATTTATCGACCCAGGAAAGCCAAGCCGCAAACCCACCTGCAGCCACCCCAGTGAGTCAGCAGTGAGCCGGGCAGTCCGCCGCCATCAACCTATACCATTCTGAGGAAAGGGGACAAAAGGGAGACGGTCTTTGTACTTTCTTCAGTACTCTTTATTCTTCCTATAAAGCACAACGTCTTTTCATTTGATGATTAACTTTTGGACATCTTAGTTTTCCTCACTCTTTCACCTTCACCATTCTTAGGTCCATTTTGACTGACTTATAGGGGCAATGATCAAAGCAAAATAAATGTTTTCTAACATCATTGCCTGCCACTTCCCGTGCATTTAAGTCCTTCCCCTCCATGGATTATGACAAGTTTGCCTTTGTGACATTTTTACCCCAGTGGTTCGGTGATATTGCAGTATTTACTTTGGAATTTAGAAATAAAAGACATTTAAATGGGACTATTTCTTTTGTCTTCAGTAACTGTGTAAAACTGCTGGGAGGCTTTCCTTTTCTACACACACACACACACGCACGCACGCACGCACGCACGCACGCACGCACGCACACACACACACACATGCACACACACAAATTCAAGGAGAGTAAAAGAAAAGGCAGACAGTCTGTGGTGTCAGACTCAGGTACATTGTAGCGAGTGTTTTCATCTTTCCATTTGTATGTTTTTTTATCTTGCTGTGAATTCAGTTCTTTCCGAAGAGCACACTCACATGCTGAGTACTTTTTATACCCTAATATCCAGTTTGTGCAATAGATTCAAAAAAGTTCATGATGGTTTTATTGGGTTTAAAAGAGCACATCCTGCTGGTACGTACTGTAGAATCATCTAAACCAGTGTTTCCCAAAGTTGGGGTCGGGACCCAAAGTGGGGTCCCAAAACATCAAGGTGGGGTCCTGAAAAGATTTTTTGAATTAATTACATTTTGGCCAGTTGTTAAAAAGGAGTGAAGTTAGTATATTTAAAATAGATAAATGTAGTATAAAAATATTGTTACTATGCCTGTGTTTTGTTGACCTGATTCAAATGTTTATCATCCAAAAATAGTTGTGGGCACAGGTCTCTGCTACTGTTATTTTGTGGGTCAAAAGCCTAAAAGTTTGGGAACCACTGATCTAAACAATAACTGTTTAGCATTGCAGTGGTTTCTGTGGGTGTCAGTGAATGAATGAGCTTTATTCTTTTTTTTTTTCAACTTAATTTTGTGAGTCTGTGATAATGTGTTCCTTCCATACTGCATTGTTTATTATGTAAGGAAGAGAAGTGGACTGTACATGATTTAGATTCTGTTTTTATTTGTATCATAGAAACACAAATCAGCCCCAACCCAGCATTATCATCATCAAGTCATTGATCAGACTCACCAGTATGGATTTTTCTTAATTACTATTCATAGCTGCTCCTTGTGCTGTGCACATATAAACACATCAGACATCTACATACACCACCATCTGCTAACACACTCCATCTGTTGTAAACTGAATTTCCCCCTGAAGTCAAACAAAGTTTGTCTGGAGCACTGCAAACATCAGAATCTGCTACCTCTGAAAGTTTGAATCCAGTAATAAGAGCCATAATTTCATGTACAGAAAGCCTTTTGATCAAATAAAGGTGAGCAGTTTCCCCATCCCTCTGAACCCTCATGCCATCCCTTTTTTCTCACATCATCATCATCATCGTCACCTTTGTCCTCTGACTCTCAGAGACTGGTCTTTGAGCACTGATGCATAGAAAAGCAAGGTTCCGCTCCATCGCCCATCCAATCGCCATCAGCCCCTCCCACGCTCGTCAGCCAATCGCACTCTAGAGATGGCCGGACGGGGGAGGGGCTGCACGTCATGAGTCGGGGTGCAGGGAGGGGAGGTGATGTTGTTTGTGTGTGTACGTGTGCTTGCTTGTTGCTCCTTGACTCGAGGAACATAAAGGATGCTGGGCTGCTCTGGAAACAGGGAAATGGATGCTTCTGCGGGTCTCGATGGTCGTGCCGCTGCAGAATGAAGAGGACTGATGACGCTCTTTATCCATTCAGATGCACAATATGGGACTTGCTGGAATTTGTTTTGACAGGAGCGTTGCATCTGTGCAAGCACGGTGGCAATTTAGACCATTTGCAAGCCACGATTCACGGTTCAGTCACAGCAAGTGTGGCTCGAGGACTGTTTGTTTAGAATTAAATGCTAAAAGAGAATAAACAAACGATGCCAGTTTCTGCCCTTTTCAGTGAAAGATTTGACCAATTGTACCTATAGTTTGCATATCAAAATAAAACAAGCAGCCGAAGAAATTTGGTTTAGAAATAAGAAGATTTTCAGAGAAATTACATGCGACAAAAGACCGTAATTCTTGAAAAAAAAAAAAAACAGAAGAATTTTCTTAGATGTAGAGTAACATTTGTCATCCTGTGAAAGCCCATTTGTGGACGCCGTCACTCCTGTGCCGCCACGCTGCTGATGTCATTGGTCAATTGACTTGTTTGAGTGGAGAGAGAGAGAGAGAGAGAGGGAGAGAGCAAAAGACAAGCTGAGGACATGTCTGTCCAGATCCTGTCTGTGTCCCCCTGTAAGTATGACATGATTCTGCACGGCTGAGCTGAATTATTTAGGAGTGTCGGGAGAGCAAAGTGCCAAAGGGAAGACAAATTGAGATGTGCTGCTTTCTCTTTGTTGTATTTGGCTGTGACACACCACTCTATACTTAGAGCTACTTCTCAGCAGCCCCACAAGGAACTATTTTCGACCTGCAGGCTACCTGATAAATGCATGTGACTCGTTTCATCTCACCTTTTCTCCTGTTATAAGGTTTGTTTACATGGAAGTAGAAACAGTTGTAATCATCAGGTTAGTCTCACAAATTTAAAAGGTTAACCTAATCTTTTTCAGCTGTTTTAATATAAAATATAAAAAAAACTGATATTATTTGTCATACATTTCTGAGCTGAAATTATTTGCAGAATTAAAGGCATAGCATTCCTTGTATGTGTTGGAAATGACTGTCAACTTATCTCAGTATTTTTGAAATTGACCGGTCATAGCTATTTTTGTGTTTCCATGTGCATCCCCTCTTTGTGTTTTTCTTTCAGCATTGCAGACCACAACATGAATGTTTAAAGGTTTTAACTATGCACAGTACAATTCTAAAAGTTGTTAATAATAATTGTCACCCATCTATAAAAAAGCAATTTGGTAGTAACTCAATAGATGAGAAAAAATCATTTTTTCCACTGACACCCCATGAGCCTTAACAAGAATGAAACTTCTTGACCATGAAGAAAAGTTTAGTGACCTGTAAAGATTTAATATTTAAGCAGCTTGTCAATATGGATTTCCTTGCAGCTGGATGATGGGAATATGAGGGTCAGGAATGCTGGGATTGTTTCCTTTTAATGGAATTCTTCAACACGCTTTACTATTTCATGAAAAATAGGGTTGTGTTGTTGTAAGTGTACTTTTAAAAGATGATGCTGTCAAAACAGAAAGTGACCCAATCTGTTTGCCTCCTGTTAACTCTTGATTGTTTTATATTTGGTTTAAAATTTAAAAAAAGAAAAGTCGGTGGGTCTTTAAGAAATGCTTCTAGCAAACCTCAAATGGACAGTAGCTTACTGGTGTTTCAAGGTTTTCGTGATGAAAACAGTTCATATCACAGTGTTCACACTATACTGTAATCTGTGGCCAACTGAGATTTTTGAATAGTTTAATAACCAATATTTTCCAATGAATAATTGTGTATAGAAGGTGTAGACATAAATCTAGGTGAGTACTAGTTTTTTTTTCCCAGATGGCCACATAAGTACCTGAGACTTTCGCAAAGGGTCAGACCACTGGGTTAAATTCAATTCTGCCAAATTAAAATTTTATCCATGCATCAATTATCTATACCCACTTCTTCCTTTAAGCGTCATGGGGTTCACTGGTGCCCATATTCAGTGGTCGCTGTGTGAGGGGCGTGGTCCACACTGGACAGATCACAAATCTATCACAGGGACACATAAAGACAAACGAAACAGAAAACCAACCACTCTCACCTAGGGACAATTTAGAGTTACCGATTAACCAAATAGTCATGTTTCTGGTCTGTGTGAGGAAGCCGGAGTACCCAGAGAAAACCCACTCATGCACGGAGAGAGCTTGGAAACTCTACCCAGAAAGGGCCCTGGGCTGGGATTTGATCCGTCGACCTTCTTGCTGAGAGGCATCAGCTCTACCAACTGAGCCACCTGCTGCCTAAATTAAAATTTTATGTTTATATTTAATAAAATAAATAAACTTAGAAATAGATGCTAGGAGTTGGTAAGTGTTGCATTGAGATAAAAACACACCCTGACTAAGAAAACAATAAAATGGTCGTTATGGTCACATTACATTTCCCAGTTGCTCATTTTATTTGGACTTCGATTATTCTATAAGTATGGTAGTAGTGCTTTAATTAAAATATTCATGCAATATTTTTACTCAGGAGTGATATCAGTGATACAAGCTGTGCAAGATAAATTAAACCATAAAGTGTGACGCCACATTTATTTACATAGCCTTGTAAGAAAATTCGTATTCAATAAACTGAAGTCGATATTAAAAACACCATTGTTAAATGAATTGATTTGTAGAAGGAATCAAACCATACAGCACCAGAATTCTGGATCTGAGTGAGGTTTATTGTCACTCAAGCTGACAGGAAACCAACACTGCCGAAAAACCAGGAAGTTCATCTATTTATACAGGTTCTTCAATGCCTGCGTTCGCCCCCTACTGACCTACGGCTGAATAACAGGCATTCAGACAAAATCCTCAGCTAATGTCATCACAACGTTTAATTATGTGTTGTCACAAATATTTTGGGCATGTAACTAATCTATTATTAATCAAATCATAATAGATTAAACATTGTCAACATTACAAAAAGGAAACCTAAGAATATAGTGTTGTGCTTTTAACATCAGTACTAACCTCTAATAACTTTAAATTTCTTCAGCCTCGTGTAAATTACACAGACCAAAACAGGAAGTGTAACACACTGTATCCTATCTTCATGCTGTCAGGTTCAGTTCCAGATCTAGTGCAGCTTTTGGTTGTTTCCACAGTCAATAAATAGGTTGAAAAGAGCAGTGAGGGTGGTAATCTTTGTTTTTTCCTCCATGACTGTACCCATTTCCTCAGCTCTGATTGTTTTCCTGGGTCTTAGCTTCCCTCTTCCTCCTGCAGGCCGGTTAGAATCTGAGTCACCCAGGAGCGTAAACAAAGTATGAAAATATCCAAGTGTAATTAGATTTGGAACTGCTCAGCTGCCTGAATTAGTGTGAAATGTTTTCCCTCTGTAGAAATGCTGCCGTAAATCAGCTGGGAAATCATAAGCGCATTTTCTATCAGTGTCACTTTTTGTTGTTGTTTTGGCGAGTGAATACCTTCAGTTTGAGTTCAGATAAACAAATCTTTTCATTTTGCACTCGGGCCCTTCTGTTTTGGAGGGTTCCAGCACATGTGCATGTGGTTATTCATGCACAAAAGTCAGATGTTCCATCAGATAGTCCTGTTTGTACAAAGCTGTTGTTTTCTGGGCTGTAATAACAGGAGATAGCCGTGGGATCCACCAGCTACCTCCTGGGTTTGGAGACTTTAGAGTCAGCCTGTGCTTTGCCGTCTGCTTGCCTGTGAACCCAACAGGACACCGGTCTTTGTCGAGGACAAGTCTAGTGAAAATCTATTCACTGAACAATGAGGTGACATGACGGCAGAACGAGAGGAGAAACAATCGGGACTGAAAGTGACCAGAGAACAGTGTCTATGAGATAGAAAAAGGTGGGAAAGGGTGAGGAAAAAAAACCGGGTGATGCGGAACACATCAACGAAAGAAACACACACACACACACAGACTAGGCAAAAATATCAACGTCCGCCCTCGCCTTTCAGAGCAGGGTGATAAAAATAACGTTTTGGCAGGAACCAAACAGCTGCAGAGGATGTCAGAAAAAGAGAAAGCAATGCATTTCCTCACCAGTGGCTCTTAAACAACTTAACCATGATGGTGCTCACGCATTATTTAATAATAATGTATAGAAACACTGATGGTCTGCGGTGTGCATCAGCCTCCGGGACCAGAATCTGACTGCTGAGCTATCAGCAAGCCGGCAAACCTGCAGGTGCACACTGACGTTCAGAGTGAAGCAGCTGAATGGGATAGTTTTGGGTCTTTGCAGTAGATTTTTGCAGCAAAAGCCAAAGATCTCAGTTCTTTAGTTTATTATTTAGAAGGCATTCGACACAAGTATGACCCTGGTTTGGTTGTTGTTCTCCATAACTGGCTGGAAGACAAACAATAAGTCACCGTTTAGTTTCTTCAAAACTGTTTATGAAAACATTTTTTTCTTCAAGCATGAAAAACAATTTTTTTTCAAGTGAACAAATAAAAAAAAAAACATCCTGCTTTATCACAATGCTTTTGTTACTGTTTTGTTCCTGAGGTCCGTCTGAGTGATTAATCCCATTATTAGAGCTCAGCTGTCATTCTGTTTACTTCTGTCAGCTGCAGTCGTTATTTGGCTGATCTGCTAGTTCTGCTTCAAATGAGCTTTAGATTTTGTTTTGGGACATGTGATGCTGGAATTGTGTCATATTGTCTTTTCCCCAGTATTTATTTCAACGCAATGCATTAGCTATACTCAACTCAGTCCTTGGCCTACGCTTACTCTGATAACAAATGTTTTTTTTCTGGTTTTTTAAAAGCTTTTTCACCTTATTTTTATGACAAGTTGATTATAGTAAATTTCTAGTTTGGTGCAAGAAGGCACTTAATTTAAGCTGACTGTTTGTGTTTGTTTGAACAATTTTTCCCCATGGTGTTATCCCCAAAATACACATGCAAGGAAGTTACAAAGTCTTCAACCATGTCCTTTACATTCTCTTCTTTTTTTCTTTTTTGGGGGGGGGTTTGTTTTGTAAGGTTTCAAATAGAGCTTTAATAAATTACCCTATAAACCAGGAAATCATTTATTTAAAAAAATGTTTTTCTGAATTGCAATAAACGGTGCATCAACTACTTTTTTTGCCTACAGCTACTTTGACTGGATCAAAGCAAATATACAGCATGATATATACTGTTGTGAAATGTTACAATAAGTAGAAATAACAACAAGTTTCTTAAACATGGAACTGACAAACGTTCCACTTGAAATGTAAACTGGAACACATTCAGTGGAGTATTGTTAATGGTATTGTTCTTGTTCATGGATATTGGGGCATTTTGCATGAGTTCTTGTAAAAATGGTATCAGGACACCATTGATTTTACTTAATCTACTTTTTTGTTTACATACTTCACTCAACATATCTGAATATAAATATGTACCGAAACATAATTGGTGAACCTCTCATCTCTTCTATGGACGCCTTTATTGTTGCTTTTTCAGTCACCTCGGTTGTTTCTGTAAGTAAGCAATCACATGTACAGTAGCTGGCAGCCATTCACAAATTTTGCTAACAAATATAT